TTGGACCTCCAGAAAGGGGGCAGAGCGGAGAAGCCCCTTTGCCTACGCAGGCCCCCTCCACAAAGAATCCTCCCCCCCCCAATAAAGACTAAAAAGAATAATAACGATAAGCCCCCCAGCAGCAGCAGCAGCCGCGGGGTGGGCAAACACCAGCCCTCCTGCCGGGGAGGGCGAGTCCTCCTGTGGCCTCTCAAGGCATCTGGAGGGCTGAGCTTAGTCCGCGCGGTGGGTGCCACTGATTTGCAACGACTGTGTTCAGCCCGAACTTCACGCTTCTATTTTCATCCCTGGTGCAAACCCACCCATAGAGGCCACCCTGCTTCCAGGATCGGCAGAAACCAGTTCCTTCGGGTTTTCTCCTCTAGGAAGGAGGGATGCTTTGGGTTTAGGGTTCCCAGTATTGCAAACGGTAGCAGCTGCGCTCACAGGTTTAAACTAAAAATGAGCTTGGGTAACAATCCTGGAAGTAACACAGGTTATTTATTAGACAAATTTACTTCACAGTAAGTAAGCTGTAAACAATTTATTATCAAGATGAAAGTGATATTTAGTTAATAAATGTAACACAATTGGTGTTACAACGAAACCATGTAGGCTTGATTGGCAACAAATGTAAAGGAAACAGGAATTAAACAGTTTCCAGAGAGGCCGATGAGTTTGTTTTGCCTCCTTGCCACATGTCCGGTGTTAGATTTTCTCTTGGAACTCGCTGCAACAAGGTTATTATGACTACCAGCTATAATGTACGTCTGTCATGGCTGATGTTTTTGCTCTGCTTCTGCAGTACAACCGGGTCTGGATCCCCGATAGCAAAGAGGTTTGGCAGTCTGCAGAAATCACATCAAACTATCAGCCTGGAGACGGCGTCCTCCGCCTGCAGCTGGAAGATGGCACGGTGAGGGGGGAGGACTGGCGTTCCTGTGATTCCCGCAAGAGACTTTCAAATACGCTGGACCTGCTGAGAACAAGCCCCGTTTTTCTTCTTGGGAGGGACTAGACCAAAGTAACGAAAGTGGCCCTTCCTCTCATTTGACCCTCAAGCTCTGGGGCGTATTTGGCCCCTTCTGTCCTACGCGTGAATCGCCAGCCATGCCAGGCCAGAGCGGGCACCGATCTTTGGCTTGGCATCTCATGCGAAGGCACCCATAATTACAACCATGTTGCCAAGTTTTGTTGCAAGCAGGCAGAGATGGTCTAGATGAACCAGCCACCCTGAAACGGGGAAGGAGGCTTGTCAACATGCATGCGTGCGCAAAGGGCATGTGTGGCCTGGCCTGTCATATGGAGTGGGTCATGTGGCCATTAATGTAAACCATGGAGGGCATTTCTAGGGGGGGTTGGAGTGGAGTGGGGGGTGGGATGTTCTGAGCGCTGTGTCCTCTAGAGAAGGAACATCCCTGTACTTGGCCAGAACTGGCTGAATCTGAAGGGAGGCCCGCTTTGCTGCGGCCCCTCGGCCCAAAAGGGAGAGTCTCCGTGCCTACATTGGGGTAGGCGGGCTTCGCCATGGCTTGAACGCTGCCTTGAGAAACCCTGGGCTGCCTCCGCCTCTGTCTTTGAAACCCACCAGGGTTCAAGGCTGTCCCCCGGGTGTGACTTTTCTGCTTCCTCTGCCCACAGCCACTGGCCTACCCCGTGGAGCCTGGCGCCTTGCCTCCTTTACGCAACCCGGACATCCTCGTGGGCGAAAATGACCTCACGGCACTCAGTTACCTTCATGAACCGGCCGTCTTGCATAACCTCAAAGTTCGCTTTGTGGAGTCCAAGCTGATTTACACCTACAGCGGTAAACCAAAGCCCGCCCTTTGCCTTCTACCTTGGGAAGCCGCCTGGAGGCGGCTCTTGCTCCCATCTTGTGTCTTTCTCTGTTGTTTTGTCATTTTGCTGCAGGAATAATTCTGGTGGCGATGAATCCCTATAAACAGCTGCCTATCTACGGCGATGCCATCATCCACGCCTACAGCGGTCAGAACATGGGAGACATGGATCCGCATATCTTTGCTGTGGCAGAAGAAGCTTACAAACAGATGGCAAGGTAGAGCCGGGTAGGGCCTTTTGGGGCTGCCCTTGCCAGGAACCGAGGGCATGGGGCCCTCTGGGGCTCCCCTGCAGGGTGCTGACACCTCCCAGGCAGGGTCAAATCACAAGGACAGCATGTCTGTATTTCATAAGAATTTTTAAACTGCCCCCCCCCATGAATCTAGAGTCACACATGGGTTTCTCCTTGCTGTAGGAATGATAGGAACCAGTCTGTCATTGTCAGTGGGGAATCAGGAGCTGGGAAGACCGTTTCTGCTCGCTACGCCATGAGATACTTTGCCACTGTCAGCCGGTCGACCAGCAACACCCAAGTGGAGGATAAAGTGTTGGCATCGAATCCCATCATGGAGGTAGCTGGGGGAGGCTATGGGGGGGGAGGAGAGAGAGCAGGCAGCTCATTTGCTCAACCATCTCGTTCTGACCTGTTGAGTACCCCCTGCACTGCCAGAATGGTAACCCTTGGCGTTTTGAATTGGAAGGCTGTTCTTACAGGTTCCAAGACTGTTTTAAATATGTTTCATTTTGTTTGACTGCAAATGTTGAGCGTAAATTCTGCAAGGGTGTTGTGGAAATTGCCAGCGTTTTTCTCATGTTGCCAATAACTACTCCCACCCAAAAAAACAAAAAAAAAGGCTCTTGGCACCTGTAGGATTAACAGATTCAGGCAATTTTCACTGGTGCCACAGTGTTATGCACAGCATGCATAACAAAAGCAGGGAATTTTCCCCTCTGCTTTTGTTATGCATGCTGAATCGGACCAATGGGGCCACTCCTGTCTGAAAATCTCCTTTGAAAATGTTATGTCCCTGCATCGTTCTTTGTGGAAAGGAACATACATGTGGTCAATTAAAAACGATTCCCCATGTTATAGGCCATTGGTAATGCTAAAACCACACGGAATGACAACAGCAGTCGATTTGGAAAATATATGGAAATCAGTTTTGACAAACGGCACCAGATCATTGGTGCAAATATGAGAACGTACCTGCTTGAGAAATCCAGAGTTGTCTCTCAGGTTAGTAAAATTCAGTAATGGAAATACCGGTTGCCTTTACAGTACTTACTTCCACCATGTCATCTTCCGCACATTTATCCTGCAGTACAGGAAAAGCTCCTTTGCATTTTGGATTCCAAATAAAAGGTTAGGGGGAGAGAATGGGGCCACATTTTTTAAAAAAATAACATTTCCTCTGCCAGACCCAGTTAATAATTCAAAGAGTCGTCGTCCTCCTTCTTGTCAGCTCTTGTTGTTATTTAAGACAAGCAATTCTTAGTTCAGCAGATCTGGCAATGCAGACCGAATCTGGCACCCCTAGCAGGGAGAGGAGGGACACTGAGAGCCCTTCCTGGCAGGGAGGTTGTCAAGCGGCCCCGCTTGGCATTCAGCTAGAAGTGTTCTGTTGCATTTTAGAAGTTGTGGGCGGTCCTCCGGGTGCCAGGTCTCCAGCCAGTCAGTCACAAGAGGAGTTGGTGGGTCTTCCCGACCCCAAGACTTAGCGACAAGTGACTTGCCTTGGTATCGCTATAAGAATGCAGGTGAGATGAATCACAGGGGAGCCTCCTTGCTCAGGAAGAAGACAAGCATCCTTAAGGCTAGGCTTATGGGTTTGCTTCTATGTTTTTATTGCTTCTGGATTTATCATTCCCCCCCCCCTTTTTGTTGACAGTCAGAAAATGAAAGAAATTACCATATATTTTATCAGTTGTGCGCATCAGCTCTGAGACCAGAATTTAAGCACCTTAAGCTGGGTATGTTTCCAAAGACTGATCTGTTTCATTTTTCCATTGCTTTGCTTTCATTCTTTGATACTCACTCCACAATACTGTATATGTTTCAAAAGCAGAATTTGAAATGTTACCTTCAAAGAAGAAATCTGTTATATTTATATATCTTTGCTTTACAAGGGTCCCAAAAGTAATCAATTGCTATTGTAAGTTTTAGAACTAGCTGTTTACCAGCATGTCTTTCAAGAATGGCTGAAGCAGGTCCTTTCCATTGCAATTTTTTAAAAAACTGAACACAACAAGCTGCTGGTCTTGTTGCCACCTCAGTGCCCACAAAAACAGTCTGAGGCGGCAGCAGGAATGGTCACCTGAACAGGGTGGGATTCCTCCTCCACTGTTTAGGGTGGTTGCACCCTCAGAAATATGGAAATAACTAAAGCTATGCAGCAGAAGAAGTGGAGTTCACTATCACTAGTTAAGTTATAGTCATAATATAATGTAGTTACAGCTTTGTACTGGAGGAAGCAACTCATTACAATTAGTTAGTTATTTGTCACTGGTTATTTCCCAGTTCTGTTCAAAAGCTTTTACCTAGAAAATAACATGTCTGTTAATCTTTAAAAGGCTTTGATAGGATTCTTGTGTTCCTGCAAAGTTTGGCCCATGGTGGCCTTCCAGAAGATTCTCAGCTATCCACTCTTAACTTGTGAACTTATTTGGCTTTTCATCTGCAGCAGGAGCTGAGAAGTTTAATTATACAAACATGGGTGGAAACCCAGCGATTGAAGGTGTGGATGACAAAGCCAACATGATGGAGACTCAAAACACGTTCACCCTCCTTGGTAAGTGACGCTTGCCTTCAGCAAACGAGCTGGGTCCTTGTGGAGGCAAAATCTGCAGGGATCCTAATGTCCACAGGAAAATGGCTGCTACCCAGAATGCAGCCCTCCTTTGCCAGCTGTGTGGACGGTCCTTTCGCTCTCGGTGGCCTGGTGGCTTCTGCTGCTTCCATTCCAGGCAGGAAGCTCCCGGCCCTGTCAGGCTGCAGCCCGCAGCCCGCTTGTCTAAGAGCCAGCCCCATGAACTTCGGGGGACTCTTGTCTGAATCGAGGCGTGCAAGAGGGCAGCGCTAGGAGCAGAAGGACTTGCTGTTCCAATCTTATTGTGGAAAGGGGAGAATTGGAGTGAGCGAGGGGTGATTCTCACATCTTCCTCCCCCCCCCCAGGTCTTAAGGAAGATTTCCAGATGGATGTTTTCAAAATACTGGCAGCTGTTCTTCATTTAGGCAACGTGCACATATCTTCTGCGGGTGATGAAAAATCCTCCATTAGTGTAAGAATTAATAACAGACTTTGTTCTTTTATGGTAGCTGGGTGCAAGTTCTTGTCAGATTTTCCCACCAGCTTGCTTACGTTGTTACTTTTTGAAGTCAAATAAATTGCATTTATTTGTCAAATGCAGCAGAGATGTGGTCTGCCGCCTTGTCCATGTGCCTCCTTGAAGGAGGGAGTCTGCTTGGGCAAAGGAATGAATCCAAGGCCATGCTCAGAGCAAGGTCAGGACTTTACCCACCCCTTGCCACCATTCTGGTTGATGTAAAAATGCTCCATTGAGGGAGGGCAGTTCCAGCCCTCCGAGAGCACCTTTGTGGAGTTCTGCAGTGGGGAGTGGAGGTTACCCCCTCACTTAAACCAGACTCCACCTGTTGTGAGACTCTGGCCCAGCTTCCACCGGTGGCATCAACAGCAGGAGGCCTTTCCGGTGGACACCTCAAGCTCCATTCTGTTTGGACAGAGGCTGCAGACTCAATCCAAGAGTTTTAACGTCCATTGTTCTTGGGATACCTTTTTATGTAATGCATGCTTACCCTATTTGGGTTGTTTTTTCATGTTATTAAAAATCCCCCCCCCTTAATGCACCACCCAGTGATTCCCCCCCTTTTTTTAATTCCTTGTTTTTCAAAGGTGGATGATAAACACCTTCACATATTTTGTGAACTGCTGGAGTTAGAAAGTGTCAAAATGGAGCGATGGTTGTGCCACCGAAAAATCACCACTTCTTCTGAGACTGTCATAAAGCCCATGACCAAAGTCCAGGCTCTCAATGCCCGAGATGCTCTGGCAAAGAAGATCTACTCTCACCTTTTTGATTTCATTGTGGAACGGATTAACAAGGCACTGCTGTTCTCAGGAAGACAGCACACCTTCATTGGGGTTCTGGATATCTACGGGTAAGGCCAGCCAGCCTGCTTAAGACAAAACGCATGAATGTGCCATTATCTGGATGGGGGCTAAAACAAGACTTCACCAAAACACACAGCCTGGGACGTTGAATATGTTTCTGCTCAACCTGTGTGCCACTGAAGAAATGCCTTTAAGCCACAGAAACATCTACCGAATGAGATGCAAAATGTATCCCGGCAACCCGGTTCATTTACGAGTGGCAATTGGTACAGAGTGGTCTCAGAGCTTTGCTGGGTATCCGCAGCAGATCGGCTCCTGCTCTTGTAATCCATAGAAGGATTCTCCTTCCCCAGACTCTTACATTTGAGGAGGTGGCCTTGATCCACGAAAGGTCACATTAAAATAGAGCACTTAGTCTTTAAGGTGCCACAACATTTTTGTCTCTTTTATTATTATTTTTACTTTCCTTTTGTTTTTGTCTGATACACCAGCAGAGACTAACAGGACTTCCTCATCTAAAACGTCTTCCACAAGGTTCACAACGTTAGGCAAACTCTTTAAACAATTTTTCTGTTTACTTGCACAGAGGTTGAGCATTCTCCTTTACCTGTGTGTATAGCCAGATTTTATTTGCAAAAAAGGACAAACAGCAGAACTCTTCCCATCCATGTTCTTGCATGTGGGCAGGATGTGACACCAGGATAATTCTAAATGGGCCCCAGAGAGGCTCATGGGTGGATCAGGCAGACCTCCAGCAGTAATCCTGAACAACCTAGGATATATTTTGCACGCCAATTAATCCAATAGACTCCAGTACAAGAATATTGCTGGCTTGGGCTTTTACGTTCAACAGCCAGCTTTCCTCCCAGAGGTTTTGCTGTGTTTCATCCCCCCCACAACAAAAATATAGAAATTAGTAATGACATGGATAAAATGAAATGCAAGCTAATAATTAAATTTCCAACAATGTGTTGCAGGTTTGAAACTTTCGATATGAATAGCTTTGAACAGTTTTGTATCAATTATGCCAATGAAAAGCTACAGCAGCAGTTTAATCTGGTAAGAAAGTTTTATAGACATTATTACATTTGATTAGAATCTGTCTTGTTATTCTTTACAAAATCCTCTTTTAAATTGATTCGTCTTCCCCCCCCCCCCGTTCTGTTGCATGAGGTGGCCAAGCTTTTAATTGTTTTCTGGTGGTGAGTAAAAAATGTAAATAGGTTTCCCCCTCTGTACCGGGATGAGTCTAGAGAGACTAGGCTTCATCCAAAATGTGTCTACCCAATATCCGTAATGGTCTCTCTTCCCAGGGCCCTTGGCTAATCCCAGAGGCAATCCTTTCTTTTCTTTTTTTTAGAGTAGGCCTATTGAGATCAGTGGGAGCCAGGTTAGTCATGGGCGGCAGAAGGGTCTGATGTTATTAGGGAGGCCCAATCTTAGACGTCCCTTGTGAGGGAGCGGCTTTGGCAGTGATGGTGTTGGACTGTGTCGTCCTCAGCACGTCTTTAAACTTGAGCAAGAAGAATACATGAAAGAAAATATCCCGTGGACCCTGATTGACTTCTATGACAACCAGCCTGTCATTGATCTTATTGAAGCCAAAATGGGCATCTTGGAGCTGCTGGACGAGGAGTGTCTGGTGAGTCCCCAGGTTCCTTCGGGTCCCTCCCTTCCTTCGTCCTTCTGTTGGAATCTCTTGCCTTGGTCTGGGAAGGTCAGAGAGGGCTGACCCGTTTTCCTTCCAGTCTGTTGCTGAAAAGCAGCAGAAGAGGCTTTTGGTGCCTCAAGCCGGCTTAGCTTTCCTGGACTTTGCAAAAGCTTACGCCAGATAGTAATGGCAGGTCAGTGTGAAGGAGGCCGTCCGAAAACTCAGTCTGTGTCTGAAGCACCCTTGGCTGAGACTGAGAAGCCGAGGCGGAAGGAGGACCCAGCGCCATCCTGCTGCTGGCCCTTGGGCCGCTGACGGCGGTGCTGGTGCTGCCTCCTGACCTTCTGCAGTGGGGAGAGGATGGGGGGAGGAGGGCGGGCTCTGCCACCACCACCACCACCTCTGAGAAGCTCCTGTTGCCAGGCAGAAACAAAGGGGTCTCCAGGATCCTGCTGCTCAAGGAGCAGCCTCAGAGCTGGGAGAAGGTGCCCCAAAATTCTTTCTCAGCTTGGTCAAGTTAAACGTTTCATTGCTTCACTTTTTTTTTAAAATCACAGCTACCTCAAGGAACGGATGAGAACTGGCTTCTAAAGTTATACAACCATTTTGTAAACAAGAACCCACTCTTTGAGAAGCCAAGGATGTCCAATTCCTCTTTTGTAATCCAGCACTTTGCTGATAAGGTGAGGTGTTCATTTGGGGCAAAGCAACTCTTTCTTTGATCTAGATATAATAATAGTATATTTTTTCCCACTGTCCCAGTGAGGATGTGTCCCTAATTCAATAACAGACATTCAAGAGAGGAAAGGTCTAAGTCTCTGTGAGCTCCTTGTTTACAAAAGGCAACATAACTGACAGGATGGATAACAAAGCAGAAATGAAGTGGCCCCGGCCGTGTCTTTCTGTACAGCCTGTTCAGGTCCGACATTCTGAGCGTCATTTGATGCGGAAGGAGCCCTCTCTTGTTTTGGGGATCACACAACACACTGGCCTGAAAGTGCCTCCTGCTCACACCCAGCATCTCGGGCCAGTGGCTTAAGCCGCTTCCTACGGCTTATCTTTCTGCTGTGAAGCTATGGGAGGATATTGCCTTAAACACAATCCGCTCGTTTAGCTTAGAAATGGGATTAAATGTATTTTCTTTTTGTTTATCATGTTGCTTAGAAATTGTTGATTGCCTCTCTCTTGCTCAGGTAGAGTACAAAAGTGAAGGATTTTTGGAAAAAAACAGAGACACGGTTTATGATGTACTGATTGAAATCCTGAAAAACAGCAAGGTCTGTAAACATCATAATTTTGTTACTTGATACTTGTGACAAATGCTGCATTTGTTGTTTCAGAGTTTTCATGAAAAAAATACAAAGGGTGCTCTTTCCTGTTCTTTTTGTCCTTGAAAGAGGGAGACGGTCAGTCTAGTTCCAAACTCTTGTTACGGCTGACTGTCATTGTTCTGGGCCATCAAGTTGTTTTCCACCTTTCAATTATGACCTGCAAAAGGCCATGTCTGTAATAGCCCTTGCTCAGGTCTTCTTGCCAACATGAGGCTATGGCTTCCTTTATGGAGTCACTTATTTTACTGTTACTTCTTTTTTAGTTTCAACTGTGTGCCAACTTCTTCCAAGAAAGTCCAGCACCGATTTCACCATTCAGCTCTTCAATCAAAGTGAAGTCTGCAAAGATAGTGATTAAACCACCTAATAAACAGTTCCGCACAACGGTTGGCAACAAGGTATGCTTTTCCCAGATGAGGAACCTTTTGTTTGCTTGTTTGCTACAGTAAGAAATGAAGAGCCACTTGAGACACCGAGATGACCGGTCCTTCCATGCTCCACGTTTTCCTCCACTGCAGCCCTCTGGGCCAAAGGGATGCCAAGAACCTGTCAGCCTCTCATCTGAGGCTGTCCAGGATGCTTCGTGGCTGAGAAGCCATTGGAACGGAGCCCGTCTCACTTCTTGCATTGCACTCAGGGCGGGAGATGGGCATGGTGCACCTTCGATTCCAGATCCTCTCCATGGATGGGCTAGAAGAGCTGGGGTGGAAGAGGGGTGAAAAGGAGGGGGGGTCTGGAATAGAGCAGTCAATGAGGCAGGAGACCATCCCTCTGCCTTGCTCACCTCCATTGATAGCCCTGGACCTCGTTTGTCAATTGTCCGTGAAAAGCCCCATCTAGACTGTGTGCAGGTCTCTCACCCTGTGGTGCCTCCCTGTTTTCCAGTTTCGCAGTTCCTTGTATTTATTAATGGAGACGCTTAATGCAACCACCCCGCACTACGTTCGCTGCATAAAGCCAAATGATCAGAAGTTAGCATTTGAGTAAGTATGTGTCTCTCTGTGTGTGTTTGGCTGGAATACCACGTTGCTTCTCAAGAGTTTAAGTCCTTGAAAGAGGGAGACTGAGGGCAGATGGGCACCCAATCACCTCTACATTGGGCAAAAGGTACATTAACTTATTTATTTACATTTTTATCCCATCCAACTAGTAGAAAAGCTGCTACTCTGGGTGGCAAACACAACCAAACATAACAAGAATAGAAAGCAATAAAAAAAACTGGTAGGAAAAAGACAGAATCTCAGGACCATGATAGATGAAAACTGATGGGGTTTAGTTGCTTTTAAAGTAACGCAGATCAGAAATGCCCTTCCAGTAGATAATCAACAAAAAAAGGGCAGCTTATTCTTTGTAGAAGCACTGAGTGGAGTTTTTAAAAGCATTTAGCACAGAGCCACCTGCTATTTGCCCATTGTTAAATCCACACACTGTGCTGTGTTGGTCATACAGTCATAGAACCCAATGGTTAAGAAACCTGGCAGAAAATAACTATCTTATGCTCCTTTTAAAAGGTTTGATTCCAGAAGGGTGGTTCAGCAGCTGAGAGCATGTGGCGTCTTAGAAACAATTCGGATCAGCTCTCAGAGTTACCCCTCTAGGTAAGTAGCGGCCCCTGTGGGGTTTTATGAGTTTTTCTGTGTGGATAAGTAACCGGCCCGAACTTTCTTTCGTAGGTGGACTTACATTGAATTTTACAGCCGCTACAGCATCCTCATGTCCCAGCAGGAACTCTCGCTGGCCGATAAGAAGCTAATTTCCAAGACCCTCTTGCAGCGACTGATCCAGGTCAGAGGTTTTGTAACCATCAGCCTTTGGACGTGATCAGTCCTCACATGTGTTTCTGCCTTTGTATTATTTCTTTATGTGTGCTAGAATTAAAACCCTCTCTCTGCTGTGTTCTCCCCTCCCCGCGCACCAAACATAGGACCAGAGTCAATATCAGTTTGGAAGGACAAAAATCTTCTTCCGAGCAGGACAGGTGGCGTACCTGGAAAAACTGCGGTCAGATAAGCTGAGGCAGGCGTGCATCATGATTCAGAAGAACATGCGTGGCTGGCTGCAGCGGAAGAAATTCCTCCGCCTCCGGCAGGCGGCCATAACAATCCAGCAGTATGTCCGAGGGCAGAGGGCTGTACGGTAAGTGCACGGAACCTGCCTCGTTGGTTGCAGGGGAATCGGGAAGGATAGAAGGATGGGGGGGCCACACCTGCAGAGTCACGACCTCCTGTAAATATGGGAGGAGGCTCAGCCATCCAGACCTCGGATCTGTTTCCGGTTAAGTATTTTTTAGTATCTCTGTGAATAAGGCCCTGCATCATGGCATCTAGTGCAGTGGTTCTTAACCTTTGTTACTCGGATGTTTTTGAACTGCAACTCCCAGAAACCCCAGCCAGCACAGTTGGTGGTGAAGGCTTCTGGGAGTTGCAGTCCAAAACTCCTGAGTAACCCAAGGTTAAGAACCAGTGGTCTAGTGGATGTGTTCCTGAGCATTCAAATGGTTTGGTCCTTGGAGGGGAGGCCACCAGAGGAGGGTCTCCAGGCAGAAAAGGGCCAGGAAGGAATCCAGCCGGCAGCCCTGGAGAGCTGTGGCTGCTGCCGGCCAGAGCGGAGAGCCATCAAGAGTGAGCCAGAAGGAGCAGGGCTCTGACTTGGGAAAAGGCAGCTTCCTTGGTTCCCAGTGTTGAGGGACAATGGGATTTGTAATCCCAACCTGTTTTGCCCCTCTGGGTCTGGTTTCACCCCCTGGCCCTCCCGATGGCTTTCCTCCTTTCTGAGGGACTGAAGTTATTGCACCTCCTGGGTGTTCTGTGTAGTCGGCCCTGGGGGGGCTTATGTTTTTTGCTGTGTGTGATGTGATCCCAAGGAAAAATGCAGGCGGCAAAATGGGGGGGGGGAAGGCACACCCGCTGAGGCCCCTTTCCTCTTTAGACAAGCCATCACAGCCACCGCTCTGAAGGAAGCCTGGGCGGCCATCGTCCTGCAGAAGTACTGCCGAGGATACCTGGTGCGTCGGCTCTGCCAGCTCATTCGCGTCGCTGCCGTGACCATCCAGGCTTTCACCCGAGGATTCCTGGCGAGGAAGAGATACCGGAAGGTAAAGGCAGTGAGCATGTTTTCTCCTGGACAAACCACACACGCCCCATCGGTGGGTGAGCTTTCTCTCCTGGGAGGGTTGTGGCGGCTGTGTTGGCCAGGACTGCTCCCTCCCTCCCTCGGGGGGGGGGGGCTCCTAGAGCAGGCGGCCTGCTCAGGGTGTGCCTTCTGGCCTCCATCCTGAATTCTCCCCATCGTAAAACCTGGCCTGAACCGTTGCCTCCACCACCCCTTTGCCCAGATTCTGCCAAGAGCAGCTTCTGCCCACCAAGAAGCCCCCAGTTCAGACAATCCGTGAGCCAGATGGGACAGGGGGTCATGGGAGATCCCTGGTCCTCTGCCAGGTTAGCGCCACCCCCCCATCTTCCTCACGGTGCCTGGTGAAGGGGCACCCAGTGTGCCCCTGAGCAGTGGCTGGTGGAGGATGTCCCTACACCTATCCTGTAGGGTGCCCAGCCATGCCCAGTCTGCTCAGCAGCAGGGCAGGAGCAAGCCAAGGAAGGTTGCCTGGGGGTAGGTAGGTAGGTGGGGGCCTGGAGGTGGGGCGGGGGGAGAGCCTTCTCAGCCACCTCGCCCTTGGCACTCTCTCAACCATCTCCCTGTCATGGCTGACTTGCAACATCAACAACGCTTTACCTGGCTGGGAAGCTATGACGGTGCCTCAGATACTACTGGGGGCCAAGCTCTGAGAGTGTGGCTTTTTTTCAAGCCCATGGGGTGAGGTCAGGCTCCAATCAAGGTTCAGGGAGTGTAATCCATGGCAAGGACTAAATAAAATAAAAAAAATCTGCCCCAGAGGCCTGTTCCATGGCAGATGAAGGCAGAAGCTCTTAACATGAGTGGATGTAGAGCGGGGTGACGGCCAGGTGACCAGGCATGTTCTTGTTTTCTTTCCAAGATGGTCGAAGAACAGAAGGCGTTAGTGCTCCAGAAATACGCCCGGGCATGGCTGGCTCGACGTAGATTCCAGAACATTCGCCGCTTTGTGCTGAACATCCAGCTCTCTTACCGGGTGCAGCGGCTGCAGAAAAAACTGGAAGATCAGGTAGCTGAGAAGGATCCGTTTGTGCTTTGTGCTCAGTTCCTCCGCATTTAATTCCAAGGAGACGTTTCCATGCTTAAAAGATGTGCTGGCCCATCGGGAAAGAGTCATTTCTGTGGGCTCCCTTCTTTTCCATAGGGTGCTCCTCTCTTGTACCCTGACGAACCTCAGTAGCTCTCACAACCCTTTCCTTAGATCCTTCTTGGCCTGTCCTGCCTCCAGGTGTTGCTGAGGTTTGGTGGCAAGAAGGGAACAGGGCGCCCTGCCTGCAGGGTATCTCCTGGGCAGAGCTTCACTGTGGAGAGGGAAGCTCCCCGGGTGGCCTTGGTGGATCTGAGAGCGACTCAATAGGACAGAGGCTACAGAGTTTTGAAAAGCCAGGTTTCCCTTGCTTGGCTATGCTTGCCATTCCTTTTGAAAGAGACGCATTCCTGTGTGATGAGCAGAGTGAGAGAGCTGCTTGTTGTCTGCTCTGAGAAACTTTCTTTATTGGTTTTAGAATAAGGAGAATAATGCTCTGTTGGAAAGGCTGACTACTCTGGCCTCAAGTCACTCCAGTGACGTAGAAACCATCCAGAGGCTTCAGGTGGACTTTGAAAAATTAGCTGCAGAGAAAAAAACAGCGGAAGAAAAAGAGAAGAAGCGCAAGGATGACTTTGAACAGGTGAGTCCCTTTGTGGTGTTTGCAGCCAAACACGGAAGGGCCGCCTGCGAAGGAGGGTAAGACCAGGCCTGAACGAAAGCCTCCCGGTGCTTTTATAGATCCACTGTGGGTTGTGACCGACTTCTGTCTTGCCGTTTCCTGTTTTGTTTTTTTCAGAGGGTCTCAAAACTTGAACATGACAATTTAGAACTACAGGAAGAGAAGCAGCAACTGGAAAAGACTCTTCAGGAGAAAACAGAGGAAATGCAAGGTGCAGAGATCCAAATGAATCGCCCGTGTGTGTTTTAGAAATGAGGGGGGTGCTGATGTCGTCTTGAGAACAAGCAGAAAAGAAGCCCTGAAATGCCACCAGTGGAGAAGAGGTCCTGCAGGAAGGCCTGGAGGCCTTGTTATGCTTAAATGAAGGGCGGTCTCTGTCCTTTGGACCTTCCTTTCCAGTACTTTGATTTGCAGTGCTTTTTATGGCAGACGCACGGGGCTAAAGCACAAGGTCAGAGAAATGCATTTCCTTTGCTCTTGCAGCATTTTCTTCACAGTCCAACAATGTCCTCTTCTTTGTAATGCACAACTCCGGTGAGATGTTCCAGAGATAATTCAGATAAGACATATGTTTCTCTTTTTTTCTTTTTCACAATTATACCTTTTTCACCATTTAAGGGAACACTCCTTCTAGAAACAGAATTCTTTGATAGCAGGCCTTTGTCCTTTGATGTATTGGTAGCTCCGGGTTAACTCTGAAGTGTGGAGTAAGATGTGGAGAGTGTGTTAGAGGACATAGAACAAAGTTCCCTGTGCCCACAAAAATGCACTTATGATGGCCTGCAATGATTTGCTGTATTAGCAGACCTTCACAGTCTTGGTCTGTCACTATCCATTAAGATGTTATCCTGTGCAAATCTGTTAAAATGAGTGGGAACTGCACAAAGTCATTGCCTGGTGAATTGGATCCCATTACTTTTTAGCACTTTATGCCAGTAACGTAGCCAGAGGCAGACCTTTGTGCTTTAACATCTTACTTTCCATTGGTGGTGGCTACACAGGGTGACCATCACTGAGACCCTGTTTCTAAAGTACACAAGGGTTTGACACTTCAGAATTGATGTGACATCTCTCCTAGCTGTTGTGGATGATTGCGGATGGACAATTGCACACAGCAATCCACAACAGCCAAGACAGATTTTAACTGAATGCCTTGAGATTTGCTTATCCACCTGCACCTCATATGTGTGGTTGTTTTTAATTATTTTATTTGGCAAAGTTTATTAAATAAGACATCTTCTTTTTGCAGGTAAAATGGATGACCTAACAAAACAGCTGTTTGCTGATGTTCAAAAAGAAGAAAGGCAACGAATGTAAGACATTGAAACTGAGATGTTACTCATAAATGGTGTTTTCCCCTTGTCTAGTTTGATTCTCTTGCTCTGCATAATATGGAACCAAAATATGATTATGTGGAGATACTAAGTGAAAATAGACTAGAAAATCGGAGAGTGGACCTTGCCAAATTAAAAGGAGGTCCAAACCACAGAAATAAAATTGCTCTTAAATCTCTGTGAAATCAACATAAAAATTTTGGAAAACGTTATCTTTCTGTCCCTAGGAATAGGTGATGGGTGTTCGAGTCAGGGTTTTCCAACTCATGCACTTATTTGCCTGTATGAAAAGTGAATGACGGCTGGAAAATGCTGTGTACACTTCTGGATCTCCAGGGGGAGCCACAGCGCTGCTCCTTTTGGGCCCCGTAGTCAAGTGGCCGGGGTGGCCGGTAGAAGGAGGAGGATGCTCGGATGCTTGTGGGTTGATACGGTAGATGTGTAGATACTGGTTACGTGCCTATCGTTTGCTTTTTCCTTTTTTGATGGAACCACTTGCTGTTAGAGAGAAAAGAACAATGAATTTGTAATTTGTATGTGAATCTTTGTAGAATACTTGAGAAAAACTTTCACAACCAGAAGCAAAATTATGAAAATCAGATTGAGTTGCTGAAAGAAGAAATAAAATCCCTCAAAAATGAGAACCATCAGCTCCGAAACCGGGTCCAGGAAGAACAGCAAATTCAAGAGGACTTCAGAATGGAAGCTCAAGAACTGGCCAGCCAGGTGAAGGTAAGGGCAACGATGGAAACCGAGGGGACGAGACCTTCACAGACACACACACATTTCCCTTGGGGTTCCTCACAGCCTGAAAGAAACAGGAAATCCCCAGGCCACACAGAGCTAAGGGTGAGTGATTGTGGGAGAAGGCGGGTGGACCGTCTGAGGGGGCAAAGATTCCTTGACCCCATTTCGATTTCTACACTGTCCCGTCCCAGTCAAATCAATGTCTGTTGTTCTACCTCCAGCTTGAGAGCAGAGCCGTGGGGTTGGTTACTGATGGGCAAGGCAGCTCTTGCGTGACCCTCACGGAGCCAGTCACTCAGTCTGCTTTGGTTGGGACTAGCGGGAGAGTCCTGACTCATCCGCTCTGGGCCTTGTATCTGGTTGAGGTCGAGTGGGGCTGAATGTGGAGGCCCCGCTTGCCTGTCACGGCACATTTAATTCACCTTCCAGGAGGTGCTTTGGAAGATTGGTGGGAGGGGGGATGCGGAGAGACAGACCGTGGATTCTGCAGCTGGAATCTTTTGCCTTCATTGGAAAGGGTACAAAGGTGACCTTCATACGGATTTTCCTTTTGATGTCAAATACATTTAAAGCCAAGTCAATCATCCTGACTCCAAATCCACACAACTTTAACTCCAGCCTTAACCATCTTTCTGTTCCTATCACTGACTTGAACTCTCTGCGTTGTGTCCCCCTTTTGTAAATGTTTAGAAAATTCCTGAATTGCAAAAAGAAATTGAACTCCTTCAGATGCAAAAGATGGATGTGGAGAAGCAACTGCAGGGCCAGAAGCGGGAAATGAGAGGTAAGGTGGCCACTCCTCCCATTCAGAGGGTTAAAATACATGTGTGTGTGTGTGTCTGTGTGTGTGTCTGTGTGTGTGTCTGTGTCTGTGTGTCTGTGTGTGTGTGTCACGGACGTGGGGGGAGCCTACCTTATTGCTGCATTCTTCCTCCAATTATTCAACTCTTTGCACATGCAATACTGGACAGGGATGTTGAGCAGAGGTCTGGTGTGTGCCCAGTAAAATCTTGCACAGAAATTCAATGAGATGGAGAAAACATCTCCTTTAGCCAGGGTGGTCTGTTCCCTGCTCAAGATTAGCAGGAAAAAGATGAACTATCCTTGCTAGAAATATGTGCAGAAAGTGGGATGTCTTGATTCATTTATCCGCTCCGTTGGACCAGGCAGGCAGAGGATTCCCAGTTAGACAGACAATAAATCCAATCCACCAACTCAGTGGGACTTCCAAAGTCAACACTTTTTGTGAGTTGCATGGATTCAGTGAGTCTGCTGATAACCGAATCTAAGCCAGTGTCAGACATCATAACATGTCTGGCTTCTTTTAAGGCCTGGTTTTAAAACCTAGTTTTAGTTTCCTGGTGGCAAGGGCTCCCTCTGTTTCCTGCCACGCTTTCAGAGCGGGAAGACCAGGCTGCCTTCTATGTTCTCTGTAGCCTGTTTGATGCGATGGCTTCATGCCATGAAGCTGGAGCGAGGGGTTGCCAGCATGGCTGCAGAGGTCAGGCCTGATCCTGCATCACCAACAGCCCTCCGTTTGAGCTGAATGTGTGAGATGAACGGAAGGGTTGCAGAGAAAAGGGTGTGCTCATGTTGCTTTTCTGAACTTACAGACAGGTTGTCGGACATCACGAGGCAGCTTCAAGAAAGCTATGACTTTACAGACATACGAAGCAGGTACAGATGCACCCGGCTGCTTTTTGAAATGGTCACCTTTTGTTTTGCCAGTCCCATGTAAGCCTGAGGTTCCTCCCTCACCCTTGTCTCCCCCTGTTTTCCTTGCCCCAGGTTGTCCCCTGAAGACTTGCAGCATCTAAATGAGGACGGGGAGCTCTGGTTTGCCTACGAAGGCCTGAAAAAAGCCACAAGGTGAGCCTCATACTGTAATGTTTGAAGGTAGTTTGATTCTCAGCACCCATGGGATAGTGAAGGTACAGTTATGATCCGTGGGTCCTCTGCAGCAAAAAGCCATTGCAGACCAAACACCGCCATGTACAGTGGAGGAAATGCCCTCTGAAGCGATGGCCATGAAATCGGCCTGCCTTGCTTGCTTAAGCCAGCAAACAGTCCCATCCTGTGGGTGTTGTGGAGCCACAGAACACAATTCCCTTTGCCCCTGCTTAACTTCAGGCATGGAACAAGGACAGATCGGGTGGATCCGTGCCTCTGCTCCCACAAGACCCCAGAGCTCTGCCTGGAGCAGCACGGCTTGGGAGTTTAAGTGGACAAAGGTTTTGAGTCTCCAAGATCTGCTCTCAGTGTAGTAGTTGTATTATTAGGCCCTACTGCCTGTTTTGGCCACGGTTGGCCTAGCACCCTCTAGATGCTGTTGGACTACAGTGCCCATTGTCCCTGACTATTGGTGGGGGGGTGTTTTACTCCCTATTTAAGGGAGGGAACAATCTTCCATAAAATCTTATGAGGATGAATATGCTTGTGTGGGAACGTTTTTTTTTACACTGAATTAGGGTTAAATCATTATTGGTCTTTGAAGGCTGGTCTATTGCCTGGTGGACCCGATCCTCCTGATCTCACTGTTCTATGCATTTCTGTCCCTTTGGCAGAGTACTGGAAAGCCATTTCCAGGCCCAGAAAGAGAACTACGAAAGGGAGATTGATGGTCTCAATTCCAAAGTGGAGCATCTCAGCCAAGAAATAAGCCACCTGCAGAAGCTCTTCCGGGAGGAGAACGATGTGAACGAGAGCATCCGACTCCAGGTTGCGAGACTGACTTCTGAAAACGTGGTGAGAACTAAGTGTGGTAGGAAGTAGTATCCCACTGCATTACAGGGTCGCGGACGCACCACCTCTTGAGCATCTTCCGGCCTCCGGCAGGCTCCCTCCGACATGTGTCACCCTCTGGCCTGTGGTGGGATCCCTTCACCCAGCTGGCTGCAGGATTGGCTGGGTCACAGGGACTCTGCTGGAGCAAGGCGGAGACTTACATGTTCTCTCTTCCGCTCCAAGCAGTAGACTTTTGCCGTAAGACCAAGGAAGGTCTTCCAGAAGCAGTTTGCTTCTGAGCAGAAACAGGTGGTCTGTGAAGCAAAACACTTGCTGTTAAATAATCCGGTTTGTTGAGATTTCTCCTCTGAGATCGAGAGAGAATCAATCATTGCACACACACAAATGGTTCCTTTGTAAAAACTGAAATACTTCACGTTCTTAGGATGAACTGCTGAATGATGTCAGTATTTAAATATTTCCCCCTTTCTATGAAGATGATCCCTGATCTTAAGCAACAGATCTCTGAGCTTCAGAAGCAGAAGACAGATCTTGAAAGACACCTTCAAGATGAAGCTGCAAAGCATAAAGGTAATTTGCTCTGTAGGAACCTGGTTCTGTCAATATAATGTCTATTTTCACACTTTTTTTTAACTTGGGAAATTTTTTGGCAGTTAATACAAAGCAGAGCAAGTGTGGTGGGCCCTTGTGTTATGTATACAGACTGTCCCTGTTGTTTTTGAATAAAACGATCTCACAGGACACAGCTGGGAAAAACTGTGCCTGAGACCTTGGGGAGAGAAGATGCTGCCACACTCGCTCAGGGGTCAGAATCTTCTACTAGAAAGCCTGATGCCTGGGGAAGCAAACTCCACAGCCCCAAATGTCTTTGTTTTTAAAAGGATCAGCTTTCACCCTCTTCCAGATGTTGTCTCACCACCACAGGAGATGGATGGACATCACCCCGTCAGACAGACGGACACCACTTTCCACCTCTGTATCTCCAGCACAGGAGAAAGAAGTTCCTCTCCGTGGATTAAAGGGATGAGATCTCAGTCTTAGGCTAACTTAGTTAAACTCTGTTTCTTCTTATTATAGAAAAGGTGGAAGAAATAGCCATTCTGTTACGTCACCAGGAGCAAAAGGAAGGGAAAGAAAGAAGGTAAGCAGGAGGAGGCCATTTTCCTGGGGTTTTTTTTAAGTAAAAAAAAAAATGTGGGCCATGATTTAAACCCATGTTCACCTCCCAGGGAAAAGAAGAGTTCATAAGTGATTGTATTTGGCAGTTCATGAAAAAATGCCCCCCTTTTTTTTTCCTGAAGGAGAGAGCAGGGCTACGAGGTGTCTCGCTCTTGCAGAGCTGCTTGACGTGCCTCAGCAGCAATCAGCTGCATGGCGGGGAAGCACGGCTGGCCTGTTTCTTCAGCCCAAGTTGCTTTTAAAGAGACAAGGGATGGCCAGGCTGGTTTATCCTCTGACCAGCTGCCAATGCCAGTCTCTGAAGAAAGCCAGCAAAAAAGGATCCAAGCGTGCCAAGTGAATGAAAAATAGTGTTTATAGACCACTTCATTGCCGGCGTTTGCTTTACATACAGGGGTGGGTGGGGAATCTTTTTCTTTTCTTTTCTTTTCTTGCTTTTCAGAGTATTGCAAGCTCCAAATGAAATATACACAAAGGAAAAAGAAAAGCTGTTGGACAGAATTGAAGAATTTCAGGAGTCAGATAATCACACGGGGAAGCAACCAGACCGAGAGAATGAAGCCAAGAGCAAAATGTGGCAGGACATGGTGCATCTCGCCATGGAAAATACGGTGAGGAAGGAAGCGATGCCATGGGCTTCGGAGGGAGAGTCACGCCGTTTGTGTTTTCTATTGCTTGCACTGTGGCCCACAAACCAGGAGGAGGGTTCAGTGCACCTACAACGACACTATAGACAGAGTAACAAAGAACAAGGAATGTACAAAAGAAGTTGAGGCACACAGTAATACGTATGTAGAAATATAGATCCAGAATTCACAGTTGATGCTTAAAAATTATCTTGGCTTCTAACATTGCAGCAGGACTTGTTTTTCCAGTTCTTACCGTAGGTTGCTTGTTATTGGCCCCCCAGTGAACCCAAAGCTTATCCTGTGTATTGAGGCCCATTTGGGTGTCCTTTTAGAGGAAACCCACCTTCTGTCACTGACAGAGAATGAGGTTTCTGATCAACTCTCTTGCCTGCTGCAGGACCTGGAGGAAGAGCTGGATAAGAAGGACAGATTGATAAAGAAACTCCAGGATCAGATCAAGACCCTTAGAAAGTCTGTAGAAACAGGTGAGAACTTTATTTAATAGATGCTTTGATACCATTTAAATGTGTCTTGCAAACAACAAAACACTATTTTGAAAACAACAAAATTGAGGCCATCATAATCATGGGGAGGGGGTTTATCATCATGAGGCAGGTTCATCCTGCTCTGCTGTGTTCATCTGTTAAGAGGCCTGTGAAGGAAGAGGGCTGGATCAAGGCAGTTTGCTGCCTGAAGATAGACAGGGAATCGCCTCCCCCCCCCCCAGGTCTGGCCAGAATAGCTGTGGAATGCAATGGATCAGCCTTTATTCCCCAAACGTACCTGAGGACAATTGGCTAGCTGAGGGGTAGTGGTGCAGGTTACACAGCCTTGGTCACACCCTACCCAATGGTAGGGCTGGCCCTGAATTTCTCCACTGTCTTTAACCTGCAGCTAACCATGAGTAGAGTGAGACAGGTTCACACATTAACCACAGTCCCCTCTTCAACCCACCCTTTCAGTTCGTGATTTATAGAGACCAAAGACCAGGCGACCCTCCTGGTGGGAGGAATGTCTGTGCCAGGGGGCCTTGTCTCTCCCCTCCCACCAAGGAGAAAGACCCGTGGTTGGGGCAGGGACCATGTTTGTTAACATGAAATCATTGGTGCCTGTGTTAATTTTCCATGATAGACCCTTTGTTTGTGTCTTTATGAATGTTTAGCAGCCAACGGACTGTCTGTGTCACCCCTGCCCAAAGAGTACCTGGGGATGTTGCAGTACAGAAAGGAAGACGAAGCGAGAATCGCTCAAAATCTGATCCTTGGTATGCCTGTAACCCTTTTAACTTCTGCTCAGTAGAATCACAAGCAATGCCAAATACTTTAGGTCAAAGTTGCTGAATGTCTTACAATGGTGGTCAATACTAGTACTTTATTTTCCTTACTGTATTTCTTATCTGTTTTCTGTCTTCTTAAAAGGACTATATAGTGTTTCTAAGTGCTTGAGAAGACTGGTTTAAAAATGGTCTCCTATCTCTGTTTTCCCTCTAATTACTTCAAACTGTTCACCCCTGAAGCTAACGCACTGGAAAGACGGCAGGGTCCACTTTCCGCTTTTCCTTCTCAGATCTACCACGACTGTGAGTTCCTATCTTCAGGTTAAAACTGGTTTCCTGGCTCCTTCCCTCCTCATTCTGTCTACACTGCTCTTTCCTTGGCAAACCTTCACAAACTGCTTGTCCCTGAAGGGTCTTACTCTATGCTTCCCAGAACGTGCCACATGGATGCCTTTTCTGTGTCCTCCTCTTTTCCCATGTCTGACTTTCTCTTGTGTTCATGACCTTCATAAAGCCACCCAAGCTCCTGCCTGTTCCTCTTTTCTAATTTATGTGAATGTTTTAATTTTATTTTTGCTTTTGCAAACATGCGTGATCCTTTGCTTCTTTCTAGCTCACTTCCTATTCACTTTCAGTCCAAAACTCTCATGAATAATATATTGTTTCAGACAATGATAATAATAATTAGTAATTTACATCCTTGAATAAAGGAAGCATAGGCCTTGAATTTGAAAGGTCTGAGCGGGGCTATTAATGACAGGACTTAATTAATAGGATTGCCCAAACTCAGAAGCAACGGGAGGCATGTAACCACAACAGTTTCAGTACATCTTTTGCACAGTCAGCTCCTCCTATGCTAGATTTTTTTCCCTTCATGAACCCTGAAAAGCTTTTAAACTCACTTTCGGACCAGCTACGTGCAAACAGGTATTCAGGCAATTTTAGCAGCTGCAACAAGATGTCCCCCTTGATTGTATCTGTGGCCACACCTTCTCTGCATTTGAACGATGTGCTGTGGTGCTGGAAAGGTTTTTATCTGGGTTGCTTTTATTCACAATATCACCAAGGGAAGTGAGAGTATCTGCGTGCAAAACAAGCACATCGCTTGTGTTTATTTTCTTACCTCTGAACCCTAAGTGCACATCTTTGATTGGAGAGGTTCAAAACAATCTGAGAAACATTTTGGAGGTGGGGGTGATGGGGAATTGACTATTTCCTTTCTTCTTAAAAAAAAAAAACCGTATCGAATCATTTCGGCACTGATGGAATAATTCTTGCATTGATGCAGAGCTAAAGCCCCGCGGGGTGGTGGTGAATATGATACCCGACCTCCCAGCGCACATCCTCTTCATGTGCATAAGATACGCCGATTATCTCAATGACGATGGTATGCTGAAGTCCTTTATGAACATGTCAATCAGTGCCATCAAACAAGTAATTAAGGTAGGCCTGTTTTGTGGCCCTGAGCATCTGCCGCCTTGTCTCAAAGGACCGAATGGGTGCATCGTGCTCTGATGGAGGTATGAACAATATAAATGGAACAAACACGGTTATCTTGTTATTTAGGAACATGCTGAAGACTTTGAGATGTTGGCGTTCTGGTTATCCAACACCTGCCACTTTCTTAACTGTCTCAAACAGTATAGCGGGGAAGAGGTAAGAAGGATTTCAACCTCCTATATACATTAGTTGATCCTCACGATGCATTTTATGCTATAAATCCAGCAAATATCACTCCGCTGAATGAACTCTCCCAGAAAAAAAATCTGAAATGGCATCCTTTTAATCCTTACCCTTCTGAATCGGTGGCCTTTAAGAATCCAGAAAGAGCAGAAGAGAGGATTGTGAGTGAGTAACTCAATATGAAGTTAGGTTGGAGTAATCCTAAACAACAAGGTAAAAAATATGGGTGGGGTAGGGGGAGAGAAATGGATAGCACAGCAGGAGAAGTTGGTGACCATCAAACACCTGGTTTCCTCTGCTTGTGCTTGTGCTTTCATTTGGCTTCTTTGTGGCCTTGATTGCCACATGCTCACAATTCTATGACTGGCTTTCAGGAGTTCGTGAAGCACAACACCCCGGAGCAAAACAGGAACAACCTGAAGCACTTTGATCTGTCAGAATACAGGCAGGTCCTGAGCGATCTGGCCATTCGCATTTATCATCAGTTTATTATCGTCATGGAGAACAATCTTCAGCCCATGATAGGTAAGAAACAGACCAGGACAAATGAGCAGTTACATGCCTTCTCGGCGATTTGCCAAAAGATCTAGAAGAGAAATGGTACCTATTTTCAGGTTTCTTCCTGCAAGTCTAGCCGTGTGTGTCTGTTCACACGTACGTGTATGTGTGCCTATGTTCTTGTGTTGCCTTCCTGTGCACGCATCCTCACGAGCAAAGGCTCTTCCCTTCTACAGTGCCAGGCATGCTGGAGTACGAGAGCCTGCAGGGGATTTCTGGCTTGAAACCCACCGGCTTCCGCAAGCGCTCTTCCAGCATAGATGACACCGACGCCTACACCATGACCTCCATCCTGCAGCAGCTCAGCTATTTTTACACCACCCTCTGCCAGAACGGCCTGGACGCAGAGCTGCTCAAGCAGGCCGTCCGGCAGCTTTTCTTCCTCATTGGGGCCGTCACCCTCAACAGCCTCTTTCTGCGCAAGGACATGTGCTCCTGCCGGAAAGGGATGCAGATACGGTAAGGGAACGTCTTGGCATATCATAGCAATCATCGGGGTCTTTGGGTCACAGAAAGGAGCTTCTCCTGGCCTGGAGGAGAACTGCAGGCAGAAATGAGGCTTCCTTCTGCTTCTTCATCCCCCCTCCCTCCCCCCCAAGGTGCAACATCAGCTACCTGGAGGAATGGCTGAAGGAGAAGAACTTGCAGAGCAGCTCCGCCAAGGAGACCCTGGAGCCACTTTCTCAGGCCGCGTGGCTCCTGCAGGTGAAGAAGGCCACCGAGGAGGATGCCAGGGTGATCTGTGAGCACTGCACATCCCTCTCCGTGGTCCAGGTAGGGACCTTCTCAGGAAAGCATCAGCAACCGTGGCCCTCCAGATCACAGCTGTGATGTTGTTTACTGACTTTTCTTTGCTTCCCTCTCAGGTTCGTTGTTCTGGCTACTTTTTAGAAAACCTCCCTCCATGTTTGTGATTGTATCGTTTTATACTGTTGCTTACTTTCCAATATGGTTTCTTGTCTTTCCTCAGTTGCCTTTTGTTGTGTCCTTCCTACCAGCTTCCTGCTTTCCTCTTCTTCCTTTTCCTTTTCGCAGGGCTGGGGGCTGAACCGAGTGCCAGCCTTGAGTTACAGTGGTGGGAGGACTGTGATTCTACCCTCTTTTTGGAACTACAGATGACAAGCCCAGCCTTGAGTTACAGTGGTGGGAGGACTATGATTCTACCCTCTTTTTTTGGAACTTGTTTATTCAAATCTTCCCTACAGATTGTGAAAATCCTCAACTCCTACACGCCGATAGATGATTTTGAGAAAAGGGTGGCCCCATCATTTGTCCGTAAAGTGCAGGTACCTTTCCAAGAACCATTCCACTTCACAAACTTTTGTGTGTGTTGGGAGGAGGAGGAGGAGGAAGAGGAGGCAGAGACATATAAGCCCCTTTTCCCACAGAAGGGCCACGCTCCTCCTTAACCCTTCCACCTTCTCTGTCTTTATTCCCCTTCCAGGCTCTGCTGAGCAACAGAGAGAACTCTGCCCAGCTGATGCTCGATACAAAATACCTCTTCCAAGTGACATTCCCTTTCACCCCCTCCCCACATGCTCTGGAACTGATGGAAATCCCCAGCAGTTTCAAACTGGGCTTTCTCACTAGAATTTAAGGAAGAAAGTGCAGGTTGTCGACTCGCTCTGTCCTTGAAGGGCAAATCGACCTCTCTCCCGGATTCTCCTTCCACAGCCAGGGCAAAATAAAGCTGCTTAGTGTGGAGAGCAGGAAATCAGGGCAGAAGCAATGGGGGGTGGGAGTCCCTGTTCTGTGCTGCACCCCAAAGCCCAATTTTAAGTCTTCCTTCCCCTGTTCCTAGATCAGACCTTCTGCCCTGACGGAGCCTGTTGAGTCCTGCAACTATGGCATTCTGTTCAGGGTGGATCTCTCGACTAGAAAGTATTTCCTGCAATGAAAGACAAAGAAGGCAGTTGTTGATGATATTTTAGTACTATATTTATAATGCTGCTTTGTAAATTTATATCCCTGTACCTGTATTTTTGAAAGAAAGAGTGTGTGTGGATTGTGGCACAGAGGCAGGTTGACACAGTACAGTCGGCACCAGGAGGCGTCGGAATCAGGCGTTGCAAAATAAATCCCGCTTGGTCACAATATGGTGCTCCAAAAAAAGAGAGCTTTCTTTCCGCCTTCTCCACCCGTCCCTTTTGCCGCTGAGGGTCTCCATCCTCTCACTTCTTCCCTCCCAAGAATAATCCAGGCAGGCTTTCCCCTCGGCTGGTGGTTCTCGACATCATCTCTGATGTTTTCAGTGTCCGCTTCTGGTGCTTCAGTCGGATTCCTTCTCTCCGTCCTTTCAAGTCCTCTTGCCCCACCTGGCTGGGGAATACGCCCAGCGACATTTCGGTCCTTATCCCCTCTGGCCTTCTTCTTTTTCGGTTACAAAATTCCTTCCCTCTGCTGTGGAATTCTTGAAGTTTAAACAGCAGCAGGAGCTGCTGTGGTATGTTCAAGATTTTAAAAAGTCAGCCAAGAGGACCTGCCGGCCCTCAAAGATCATTTGCAACCCACAATACCACTGGGGACTTATCACGGAAATGGGCAAAGCAACAATAAACCCAATTAAATGGCCTGGAAAGCCAACCAGCCACACAAAACTACCCCTAGAGACATCTTCTGATAGTCCAAAAATCGGAACACTTTTTAAAAAAGCATGGCCATTTCCTAAACATTAACGGATGAGGCAGAATAACGCCCCCATCTCCACACACACCACCTCCAGAGAGGCAGTCTTTCACCCCAGGCTCCATTGTCTGTAAAGCCCCTGTGTTCACTTGCCCGCTGATCTGCCAGGGGATGGAGGAACCAGGAGCAGAGCCGTGGTTCAAGGACGGGCAGGTTTGTGGGCAAAGAAGATGGCAGCCCTTGAGACGTCCCAGCCGCAGGCCGGAAGGGGCTCAAAGCATCCAAAGAGCTCCTCGACAGGGTCTCGGACCCAGAGGAGAAACTCCGAATAAGACTGCCTGAGTGAGGCAGAGCAAAACACAGAGACCAAGTCGTGTGGCTTTGACACTGATGGGCCTGGACGCGCCCAGGGGACCCCCTTGACCGAAAGGCCTCCGGGGGAGGGAACAGCCTGGGCTCATCTTTCTGGGGAAAGCAGCCTCTTCTTCCATGCCGGCTGTGCTTGGTGCACCTTGCGCTGGATGAGGCCCATGCTTATGCGTGCGCGCATGCGCACACACACACACACACACACACACACACACACACACACACACACACACACACACACACACACACACTTGTGTGCCTTAAAACCTTCTAAGTGGATTAGCTCAGCATTAGGTTTGTCCTCCTTCATTTCCAGTGACACACAGATCACTTCCTTGCCTCCCTGACAGTTGGAAGTGGTCTCTCGGGGGAAAGAAGGTAAGAAATAGGATGTAGTGACTTTGAAATCTACTGCATAATTGATTTTTGTGCTTTGGGGGGTTTGACTTGTTTCTACCCCTCTGCTGACAGTGGGCCCTCACAAGTTGGAGAAATGTGTCCTCCTGCTTGGCACGAGTGCCCTATTGAGCAAACGGGTGAAGGAGGAACCGCCTCCGTCTGCAGTCTTGCCCCCCCCCACACCTCTACCTATTTTGCACCTGCCTGCTTTGCCTTTTCTTTTGCTCTTGCACAACCAGCAGCCACCGTTTTCTCTCCTGAGAACGGAAGACGGAGGCCAGAGCAGCCGAGCGCTTCCAGCCAGGAAGCAAGGCTCCGACCATAATCTCAGGGGAACAGTTTTGGTGCAGCAAAACCCAAGTGGCCTCTCAGGGCCCCCGGAAGGCTCACCCAAATGCTTTGACCTAAACTTTTGTGTCTGGTATGTAGCTTGGTGTTAGGCTGGACAAGACCTGTTGTGCTTTCAGTCCGGTGATGGTCTTCCACCTGACACTCATTGCCAGGGCATTTGGCAAGAAAGAATGGGAAGGGAGAATTATAGGATTTCTTTTTATTTTTGTCCAAATGGGAAGGATTGTGAGGAGGAATATTAGGGGAGGGGAAGAAAACGGGTGCCTACCAGCAGTGCTTAAAACTGAGTGGCAGAAGAAGGGTACAATTGGGGGAGAATAAGCTCTCCCACCTTTTACTGGAGACACTTATGTTTTAAGGGTGTGGGGGAGGGGCTACAAGAAAAGAAGGGAAGTCCAGGAGCTGGGGCAGAGCGTGTGCATTTTGTTCCTACACGTCCCCCCCCAAGCTCTTCCTGCTGCTGTGTTTACACACAAGGTAAGAGAGCTGCCAATTATAATGGCCTCTGAACTGA